AATATCACTGAAATAAACTGGGCTATTTTTCTCTTAACTTAGAATAGAATGTAGTCCACTGTGTGTGGTTAATATTAAAGTTAAGCAAGTGTAGAAAAAAGCATTTACACTAGGTGTGGTGTTGCACTTCTGTGATTTCAGCACTCACTGGGCCAGGAGGATTGCTATGAGTTTAAGGCCAGTCTGAGCTTACACACTGAGACCTTGTCTCAAAAGCAAGCAAACAAAGCAGGATTTACTAAGTAACTAAAAATATTCTTCACAATACATGTGTTTATAGAAGAAAAACTAATCTTTGCATGGCAGTATTCAAGATCCCAGCATTCAAGACGCAGAGGCTGGCGGATCGCTGAGTGTGAGGCCAGCCTAAACTACATTGTGAGTTCAAGGCCAGTTTGAACCATGCAGGGAGACCCTATCTCAAAAAACCAATAAAGCAAAACCAAACCAAACCAAAACACAACAAGAAGGAGGAAGAGGAAAGGTGTCCAGTTGGTCATTCAAGATACTACAGAATGAGCACAATTTTTATATCATGACTATTCATATTCAATGTTAACTAAACTTAAAGCAAATCTAATTTAAGTATGCCTTAATCAACAGTTACCAAAGCTATCTTCTATCTCAAGCCTGAAGTTTTTTAATTTTTTTGTATTTAGCACAGGGTCTCACTACACAGATTGGACTTGTAGTGACTCTCCTGTTTTCAGCCTTCTAAGAGCTGAGATTAAAGGCATGCACCACCATGCTCAGTCTCAGTTGCCATCTCAGCATACTCTGGGGACAGAGTGGATACGACACTCTGGGAACTGACCCTGATCTCTGTGTCTGCCTAAGCAGGTGCTTTAATTGCTGAGCTATTTGGCTGGCCCTTTCAAGCCTAAAGTTTATGGCTGTAGTTCTATGTTTTACTTGCTACCCAATTAAACAAAAGGGAAAATTTACAATTAGATAAATCTTCTGGATTTCCTAATAAATGAAGCAAATCTCAAGTAATGAGCAATGATTAAATGTGACAATTATAAAGCATCTTTCTTCCTTAAAAAGCTGTTTAAGGAACCCTGCTGAATATTCCCCTGACAATCACTCTGAGGAAGCTGCATGTGGCAAAGGGGGATGCAGTAGTTGGCACTAATAGGGGTTCAGAATGCAGGCTCCTTTTCTTGCCTGCTGCTCCGTTCCTTTGTTGCTTTGCCTCTGTCAGCATATAGTCAATCTTGGAGTCCTTTCTGCTGTTTTTCCTCTCCTGATGAACTTAACTGAACCTCTTTTCAATAGTAAAAAATGTATTCCTTAAAAATTAACACCAAGTCTTATCAATGTGAAATACATTAACCCACAATGAATATTATTTGTGAATATCATTAACCAAACTATATAAAACTTTTCCTGTTTTCTAGTCCAGATGAAACATCTTTTGATTGTAACAATAATGCATGTTAAACATAAGCTACACAGGTAATCTGTGTAGTTATTCAGGGAAAAGAGTGACACTTCCCTGAATTTTACCTCCCTTACGTAATCACTATTTAGAAAAATATGTTCCCCAAAGAATCAATGCCATTTAAAATGATTTTATTTTAATGCCAAGAAGTTTGCATAAAGCATTAATGTACTTATAATTTGGAGCTATTTCTAGAGGCCTAACTAAAATTGTTCCCCTTTTCCTAACTATCAAATACCTTCTGGGAAAATTTAGTCTAATGCATTGGCTTTCAAATCTTTTTTAACTCAGCCTATAGAGAAAAAAAATTTAATTACATGATAATATTCATATATAAACATATGTAATATACCATATTGTTTCTCTGGTGAGAAAAACTAAAAGTATAAATAAGGACCAAGACATTTAATAGATACTGAGTAATAGGAAGATGTCCAAATGGGAAGGGGAACACAAACGGGGTAGGGGGGAAGGATGGGAAAAGAAAAAAAAAGAGAAAAGAAGGAAAAAATGGAAACAAAGCTTTTGTAAATAGGGAGGGGAAGAAGGGTTGAGGAAGTGGAGGGAAAAGGGGGAAAAAAAGAATTAATTCATATCTTGTATAGGTACAAATTCCATACAATGAATATAGTCATGATATATACCTAAAACATACAACAATAAAAATGAAGTAGTTTCATGAAACAATTGTCCCTGTACATGATGCCCTTCTATTTTTTGTATTTTCTTTAGTTAAAAAACAAACAATAAAAGGTTGATTGTATTATACGATTCCAAATTCGCTTATAGCTTACAATATGCAGTGTACAATCACTGACCTAGAAGGAAAACCCTAAACTCAGCAGTCTACTCACACTACAGTTGTCTAAGCAATGATTTTCACTTAACCTTTCTGCTACTCAATTTTTTTCAGACTTACTGGCAGTTGAACAGATAGTAAGAAACTATACTTCAAACAAAACCAAAAATAATATTCTGTATTTTACAGCCATAAGCAAGCATTAGTATTAGTAAAGTAAAACTAATAAATCAGGCAATTTTTCACTTTTCCAAATGCTTGAATAAAATCAATCAGGTCTAAAATGTCCCTATGATTCATCATCCTGCTATCAATATATAAAAAGATGTCTTGATAAAGTGGGCTTATGAAATTGAGTTTGAGTCAATGGCTTACAGTCCAAGACTAGAATCTTATTTAATGGTTGCTAGGAAACTAACACATCCTTCACTGATGATAGCTGAAGCTACACCAAGTAATTTCAGATTACCCAGTATAATTGAAATAAGCCACAGGGCTGCAGGACAGTGAGGATATTTTGTTTGTTTGTTCATTTGTTTTCAAAATCCAATTAAACTCTGAAGTAGCTCAACCTAGCACCTTTCAGCATACACATTAGCCTTTAGGGCTGTTTCACATCATATACTACTCAAGGTAGTACATCCTCACTGGGATAGTCTCAAAGGAAATCTCCATAGAGATTTATTTTCTATATATTATTTTATGGCATAAAAACTATTTAGAAGGCCAGCCAGATAGCTCAGCAGATTAAAGCACCTGCTTAGTTAGATGCAGGGACTGGGGTTCAATCTCTGGCATGCTGTGCTGGCCCCGCCCCTGGGTGTACTGAGATGGTAATTGAGACTGGATGTGGTGGCCCATGACTGTAATCCCAGTTCTTGGGAGGCTGAAAAACAGGAGGATCACTATGTAGTGAGACCCTGGAGACCCGCTACCATTGCAATACTCTAAAACTTTCCAAACTTTCTATATAAACTCAATTGGAAAAAAAAAAAAAAACTATGATGAAAGTTTATACTTCAATGCATTAACTATTACATGCCATTTAGTACAGCAGGACTAAAATACCTATGTGCTTGCTAGTTCCAAGTTAACTCACTCTAATAAACCCACTAAAGTAGCCACTGGAATGAACATCTGAAAAATTTTAAAAAGTGAAGCATGTTAATGACCAACATGACAACTCGATACAAACTCTGATGGCTAATTTTATGTGTCAGCTTGACTAAATTAAGGGATACAGAGATAATGGTAATGCTATTTCTCTATGTATCTGTGAAAGCATTTTTTGTAGGAGATGTTATCTGAATCAGTGGGCTGAGTCAGAAAGATCTACCTTCTCCTAAAATAGGAGCACATCATTCAGTGGGTTGAGGTCCTAAACAACAAAAAGGCAGAGGCAAGGTAAATTATTTTTCTTTCTTCCTCAGTGGGACACCCTTCTCCTGCACTCTGAGATTAGAACTCCAGGATCTCTATCCTTTGGAGCCTATGAGACCTATCAGATACTCTTCCGCCTGGTCTGGTTCGCAGGCCTTTGGACCTGAACTAAGAGTCATATCATTGCTTCCCCTTTCTTAAGCCTTTGGATTTAGACTGAGCTAGCCTACGAGTTTCCTGGTGTTGTCTAGCTTCCATCTAGTATACTGTGGACCTAGGATCCATAAATGTGTGAGCCACTTCTTCTAATAAATCACATAACTAACTTGCTATGGAGAAGTGGAATCTGGCTGGAAGAAGTGGGTCACAGGGGCCTGACCTGGAAGGGTGTAACTCCCTCCCCAGCTCCTCCCTTTAGTCTCTGCTTCTTGAGCACTACAATGAGCAGCCTGCCTGGCAAGCACAAGGTCCTGAGTTCAATTTCTGGTGCGAAGAAAATCTCCCAAAAACACCACCAAAAAAACAAACTCACAAAAACAGAGCAGCTTAGAAAGAGCTTCTTATGCAAGGCCCCAAATCAGTTGTACCTTAACCTATGACATTTCTGAATTGTATACTTGGTGGTCAAGATAAAAATAATCCTCACATTTGACATTGTGACTAATTGTATAAAATGAAGGTGTTACTATAAACTACAGCTACTTCATTTACAAAGAAAAACTATGAAAGTACAGTATGTTTATTCAATAAAAAGCAGCCCATCTGGGCTTAAATTATTGAACTCTATGAAGATATAATGCATAATAACATGCTTGATGGCTGAAAAAAGGATAGACAATTTGGACACATAAAAGAAAAATAAGAAAACCACTACCTTAGGTTTTCAAGTCCTTAAAAACTGAATGTATCTGAAAATGGCAAAATTTCAAATTAATACGAAGAAGTTTACTGGCCAACAGCCTGCTACTACAATAGGGGAGTTCATAAAGTAAGCAGAATTAAGTAACAGTTGTCTTTTCTAATATATTATGTAGTGTGCAACAGGCTCCTAAAGTTTTATTTTCAAGTTACTCACAATCATATTTATATTTGTGAGTTTACCTGGCATCTAATAAGCAATGTCAAACAAGTCAATATTAAAAGCGAAGAAAAAGCTTAAGAAAATAAATGTGTCTTTCTTTTAACCTCACAATACATACTGATAGTGCACAGCTGGGAAGCAAGAAGCATTATATGAGAAAACCCTGGGTAGGGCATGTTTTGCTATTCTAGCACTCATTCCCTGTTTAAGATTTCCAGGCCTACTAATTTATAGATAACTACAAAAATATCTAGGCATAAATGCATCTTTCTAGTTTGAGTAAGAGATAAACTTACCAAATCCCTGTGCAACACCCAGTTAGCATGCAGGTAGTGAATTCCATCTAGGATCTGATATAATAATGACTTCACCATTCCCCGAGGTAATTGAACTGGCTTCTTGTTTGCTTTAGAAGCTCTGTGAAACTTGATTATATGCTGAAAGAAAGAAAAAAATAATCGATAATCTGACTATTTTCCTAACAGGAAAAAAAACAATCACTCAGAGATCCCCAAATATGTTACATATGTAATCTTACATTCTGTTTGATAACAAGTAACTTTAAAATTCCCTAATAACTGAGGTTAAAATTCGACTTCCTAACTATATATCAGTATATAACAGTGTCTCAGGAAATAAATGATGAAAATAAGGAAGGAGAAAATAATGTGCTTTTATTTTTAAAGTATAATTTTAAATTAATTACTTTTAGAATCTATTTGATTCATGTTTATGTAGCAGAAATTTTCAAAAGCAAAATCTTTTTTTATTTTGTAAGGATAAAATGAAAAGTTCAAGAAAAAAAGTTTAAGAGATACTTCTGGCTGGCTAAGATAGCACAGCTGTGCCTATTTCTTCAGGCTATGAAGAAAGCATGTGGAAAAACATTTCAGTAAAAAATATTTAGAAACATGAAAGATTTAGATGAGGAAAAGACGTGCTTGGTATTACCCATTAAAGCCTTTTCTGTGTAACATTACAGGACATTCTGTAAAACGAAGTATAGCTTTATGAATAAATCTATAGATAAAATTTTATTTTTTTAATGTTTGAAACTCCCTTGAAAGGCTTCTTTATTAAGCACTCTCAAACTTCAGAAAAAGCTTCATCTCAGCTATGCCCTGCACTTCATTGTACATATACCTGGCACTACATACCACAGAAAACAGGCTCTTGATCAACATTTATAAATGAATATTAAGCATGTTCTTGAAATAAACATAATAAAGGATTGAGATATTTAACATTGTAGTTTATTTTCATTTTCTAATTTCTTATATAGAATACTACATGGATATGGAATAACTAATGATTAAGCTTAAGTTTCAATTGAAAATATACATTATGATTAAATTATATTTTAATAGCAGCATTATGCTATTTCAATTTCTTTTTTTGAAGATAATATGTAATACAACAATAATTGTTGAATTCCTATTATTTTGTTTAATGAAATCGTGTATCATTTCTAATTTTTTTCTTCACTATTCTGTATTCTCTTTAAAAGAAATACGACATGACAAGTCTGTTAAGATTAATAACAACAAGTTCATATAGAACACTCAAGAAAATTTAAAATCCTTCCAGAGGAAGAATGAAAGGGCAAATATATATGAGGTAAAATAATTAATGGACTCCATACACATGTCTTCATGCTATTCTTCCATTAGAGTATTATAAGTGACTTTTTATTAAAGCAGTATTTTAAAACTACAAAAAACAAGGGTGGGAGAATTTGGTACCTTTGTTTTCTTTATATTCCAGGATATGGGACAAATATATGGCATCTACATCATCAAATCTCAGCATTACCTAAGTGGCTTCCTTTAAAAAACTCTTACTGTAGCCGTTGTTATCTTCTGCTGCTTTACCTCAGCCAAATCACCTCAACATTTCTATTTAAACAGGAACATAAGACTGATGAAGGTGTGAGTTTTGTAAATTGTCATTTGTTTTTTATGAAAATTAATATAAAAAAATACATCTTTAGTTTTACTGTCATTAGATGATAAAATGATGACCTGTACAGATAGTGTGTGACCTATTGACTATAATTTGCTAAAATACAATTAATATTTCATGTAAAATTAAATACTCTATAGCAGGCTGGCTAGAAATCACACTGAATACAATTCTTACTATATTCTGTGCTAAAAAATAGCTTATTATAAATCTTGTCTATAAAATAGCTTTAAGAAATTTTGTCTTAAATCCAACATTCTTTCAAAACACTGACAAAAATAAGTGTTTTCTTCAGTGAATAGAAACCATATCTGAATAGGATTAAAAAATAAAAAGAACTGTATCTGAATAGGATTTAAAAAAGAAACAAAACTATACAACAAACCAATAGCAAACACAGTATTATATGGGAAAAAACTAAAAGTATTTCCCCTAAAATCAAGAATAAGACAGTATGTCCACTATCATCTTTTCTATTCAACATGCTACACAAAACATTAGCCAGAGTAATTAGGAAAAAGGGATGCATACAGGACAGGAAGAACTCTAATTATCATTATTTTCAGATGATATGACACTCTGCATAAAAGACTCAAAGTACTGTACTAAAAAGACTCTTAAGAGTATTAATAAAATTCCAGGCTGGAGATGGTTCAGCAGTCTATAAACACCTGCCTGGCAAGCACAATGACCTGGCTTTGATCCCAGGTACCACATGCCCTACTGGCCCTGGAACCCTGAGGGAGCCTAGCTGGCCACCGAAACTGGGTAGGGTGGTGCATGCCTGTAATACCAGTGGTGGTGAGGCTGACACAGGAGGATCACTATGAGTCTGATCTGCATAGCAAGACTGTACCAAATAAATGATTTTTAAAAAATGTTTAAAAAATGAGTATTAACAAAATTCAAACATAAAGCAGGATAGAAATTTGACACATGAAAAACAGTGACATTTGTGTGCACCAATAATGAACTCGATGAGAAGGATATTATGAAAACAACACAATTCATAGTAGCATCAAGAAAATGAAATACTTAGGAATTTACCTAACCAAAAAAGTGAAAGACCTCTACAAAAAAACTATAGCACTCTGAAAACAGAAACTGAAGAGGACATCAGGATGTGAAGAGATGTGACCTGTTCCTGGACAGGCAGAGCCAATATTATAAAAAAGGTCATACTCGCAAAACTATTGTACAGATTCATTGCAGTCTCAATCAAAACAAGAACAGCATACTTTACAGATCTATACAAAATATTCCCAAAATTCATATGCAGCAAGAAGAGACCCAGAATAGCAAAAGCAATTTAGGGCAACTAGAGCAAAATAGGAGGCACAGCAATACCTGACTTCAAGCTATACTAAAAAGCAGTGGTGATAAAAATGAGAAGGTACTGGAAGAAAAACAGATATGTGGGTCACTGGAACAGACACTTCCCCTGACACATTCAGCTATTTGATCTTTAACAAAGTGGGCAGAAGCATATGTTGGAGAAAAGATAGCCTATTTGACAAGTGGTGCTAGAAACACTGGTTATCTGCAGAAGACTACGAGTGGACCCTTAAATCTCATCATTTACTAAGTTAAAATCAAAATGGATCAAAGTAAAAACATTAAACCTGTTGGAATGTAAAATAGGTAAAACACAGATACAGGTGTAGAAAAATTTTTCTTTTTCTTTTTCTTTTTTTTTTGCGGAACCGGGGATTGAACTCAGACCCTTGCGCTTGGCAGGGAAGCGCTAATTCTACTGAGCCATCTCCCCGGCCCCAGAAAAACTTTTCTAAACAGAATCTCAATTCCATAAGAAGTAACAGCAAGAATCAACAAGTGGGATTACATTACATTAAAATGCTTCTATTTAGTAAAAGAATCAATCAGTAGAGTGAAGAGACAGTTGACAGATGGGAAAAAAATTTTCAGCTACTCCTCAGACAGACTAATATTTGAATATACAAAGAACTAAAAAAAAAGAGCTGGGCAAATAGCTCAGCTGATTAAAGTACCTGCAAGCAGGCACAGGGGTCCAGGGTTCAATCCCCAGGCTTGCTGTGCCGGCCCCGCCCCTGCAGTGCACCAAGATGGCAAATGAGACTGGGCGTGGTGGCGCACGCCTGTAATCCTAGCACTTGGAAGGCTGTAAACAAGAGAATTACTACAATTCTGAGCTAGTAGTGAGACCCTGAAAACCCTGTAGAACCTTCCCTAAAATTAAAAAAAAAAAACAAAAAAACCACCTAAAATTAAAAGACCTAGTCAACAAATGGGCAAGAGAAATGAACAGACACTTCACAGAGGAAGAAAAGCAAATGGTCAACAGGTATAGGACAGAATGTGCAGTATCTCTGGCCATTGGAGAAATGCAAATTAAATGAATGCTACAATTCCATTTTATTCCAGAAGGAATGGCAGTCATTAATAAAACAAAAAATAACAAATGCTGACAAGGCTGTGGTGAAAAAACTCTCTCTCTTTATTGGTAGGAATATAAACCAGTACAACCATTATCAAAATCAGTATGGCAATTTCTCAAAGAACTGCAATTAGAAATTCCGTATGATCTAGTGTTTCCCATCCTATGTATCTTCCCCAAAGAGCTTAAGTCATCATACTACAGTGATACAAGCAAAGCAACATTTATCACAGCACAATTCTCAATAGATACACCCTGGAAACAGCCTGCATACCTATCAAAATACAATTCGATAAAGGAAATTTGTCTGCTATGAAGAATGACAATTGTGATACTTTTGTAGAAAAACTGATGCTCCTAGAAAATACAATCTTGAATGAAACAAACCAAACACACAAGCTTAAAAACCGTATGGTGTCTCTCATTTGAATGAAGCAAAGTACAAAGGAAGGGAATGATAAATTACAGCTAGAAAGGGACAAGGAGATGGATGGCTTGCAAAAGGGAAGTAGACCAAGAGAACAAAGGCAAAGGGTAAGGAGGAGAGGAGAAATAAGTACATGAAAATCTGTCATAGTCATTAATCTAACAATCTTAACTAATGAAAATATTGTATGTAATAATATGAGCTAAGGGGGCTAGGGAGATGGCTCAGGAGAATAAGTGCTTCCCTGGCAAGTGGAAGGTCCTGAGTTCAATACCTGGTTCCGCAAAAATAAAAAATAAATAAATAAATATAAAAAATAATAATATGAGCTAAGATTAATAATATCAATAAGTAAAGGAAAACATGAAAAAGTTATCAATATACTTCTGAAGCAATTCTTGAGATGACTTCAAAAATAGTTTGCATCAAATCAAATTTAAACATGAAAGATGACAGTTTGTAAAAAGTAATTACTTAAAAATCTAAAAGCATATAAAATTCAATTTCTAAAGTCTATTAAAGTTTAAATGAAACAAATCCTAGAAATTAGTAAACATTTAAAACCATTCTGTTTTCAGAGGTGAATTTATTTGTAAAACAGTTTTACTAATGTTCTAGCTTTAATTAAGGTTTCTGTATATGCATATACAAACTAGAGTGGAACGAAACTAAAAATTGTTTTGAAGATTTCTGCAAACACTTATGATATTATGAAGACTAGTATATCAGCATATGTGTTTTTTCTTACATTTATCCCAATGAAAGAATGATTTAGACTAATTTAGGAAAAGAGATTAATATGTAAAACAATGAAATATTTTAAAACTTTACATATTAGAAAAAATACAACTCACAGGAACAAGTATTAATATTTAATTCAAGGTAATATTTGGGGCTTTGTTTATTTGATTTTAAAACTGTAATCTTGCATAACATTTTCTGTACATAAAGTTGACTGGAAAAGAAGATTTACAGTATGTTTCAAAATTACTTTCTGCTATCCTCTTAGACTTTCATTTTATTTATAAGACGTCTTACTTCCAAAATGACATTTTTTAAAAGACAAAACTGTTATATTTAACAAACTAGAAAATTTTACAGTTACTTAAGACTTTTTCAAATCCAATTTAAAATCAATCTGTTTAGTAAGCTGAAAATGTGGAGGCAAGTTTTCGTATGTCAGCTATTTTAAGATAGGCAGGCATGGTGGTGGTATAACCTGTAACCCCAGCACTCTGGGAGGATGAGGCAGGAGGATGGCAAGGTAAGGCCAGCATGGAGCAACATGATGAGACTTTGTGTCAATAAAAGCGATTTTTAATAATATTTTTATCAATACAGCTCTTTCTTTTCATCATTTTAGCTAAAACAATAAACTACAGTCATTTAATTTGAAAAACCTTCAAATATTTAACTGGGTCTAAGTATCTAAAAATATTCTTATCATAGGTTAAACACACAAACAAAAAAAATAAACCAACACTGGAATCTATTTTTATACTAATCTCATTTTGTGGCAGAGCGCTCATCTGCAAAGAATTTTTCCTATGCAAGTGTATATAGATCAACTCAAGTAAACGCGATAATGAATTACTGCTGATAAAAAACATACATTAGAATATCAAATAACCATCGAAGATATCAAATAATTTATAATGGTTTTTTACATTTGCATACTGTACTACATTTAGTTTATCGAGCTTTGCAAAAAACAAAAAACCTGCTTCCCAGAAAAATCCTATAAACAACAACAAAAAAAATATAATACATTTTATAGATAAGGGAAGCTGTGACTTCAGGAGCACTTGCCTTGTGACATGACAAAAAACAGGTATAATCATTACATTTCAGTTTAGTCTTGCAAATATAACAGATACACCACTTTTAATCTTAAATTCTTCCATACTGTTGAATAAAAGAAAAATTTTATGTATTTTTCTGTTTTACTTTTAATAAAAAAAGCTACAACTATTTAGTTGCCTACATTATTTAGATTCTACTGTTCTCATTAGTATCTGTTACAAACATAAAAAGAAAATGACACAATCAAAAATTAATACCAAAGTTGGGTATTGTGGCACATGCATGTAATCCCAGGATTCAGAAGGCTGAGGCAAGAGAATTTACCTTGAGTTCAAGGACAGACTGAGCTACATAATGAGTTCAAAGACAGCTTGAATAACACAGTGAGACCATGTCTCAACAACCTCCCCCTTCTAAAAGAGAAGTAGTATTTGTTGGGAACTCCTAAACAAAAAATCTGAAATATAAAACGCTTCAAAATCTAAAATGTTTTGAATGAAGATATGTCCCAACTGGAAAATTCTATATCGTGAAACTATTCAAGGATAAAATGGCTTTTTTTTTTTAAAAGAATACAAGATAGTAAAAAAAAAAAAAAAAAAAAGGCATTACAAATGACAGAATTTCACTAAACAAAGTAATAGGAATTCAACAGTGGTTGTTGTATTGTTTAATGTTATTTTCAAATTACATGTTTAGGTTAACAGATATAAATGTGCAAACTGGTTTTAAAAAACACAAAAAATTATATGAAATTAAAAAGCAAAATTAAAAAATTATAAAAAGAAAAATATTAAGCATTAACTGCTCCTTTCAAGAGACCAGCAGAAATCAGCAGTACAATTATCCAAATTATCCTGTATAAATACATAAAATCATGGTACTGGAAAAAAAAAATAGACCTGAGGATCAATGGAACAGAGTAGAAGATGCAGACACAACTACAAACACACTCAGCCACCTTAACTTTGACAAAGGAGCCAAACATATCACTGGAAGAAAGATAGCCTCTTTAATAAAAGGTGCTGTAAAAACTGGCATTCCACATGCCAAAGGCAAAAATAGACCCATGTCTATCACTATGCACAAAACTATAGTCAAAATAGATCAAAGATTTAAATATTAAAACTGAAATCTTAAATCTTCTGGATGGATATTAAAAATAACCTTTAGGCTATCTATATATGGGGCATATGAAACAAGTTAATTTCATATTAGACTTGGGTATCATCTCCTTTCAGATTTTGGATTGTTTGCATACACATATAGTAAGACATTATACACAAGCAAATATTTCAAAATCTGTATGATCACTCTTTTATGCACAGCAAAATACTTTTGCCTCAGTAATGCACCAACCACTTATGAGTTAACTTTATTTTAAAAATATAAATCTCCTAATTGTTTGAGTCACTTTTTAAAACCCCTGACTGAAACCAACAGCTCATGTCAATTAGCAATTCACCTTACCCAGAGGTCATGTTCAGCATAGTCAAACAGAAGCCATACTTTACGATCAGCATGAGACAGAAACACCTTTTGAAGAGAGATAACATTTGGATGCTTAAGCTCTCGAAGTAACTGCAAAACAAGAGAAGTCTATTAAAATTTTTTTCAATAAAAATGTTAAGAATGCCCCACTATTTATAATTTAATCGAAATCTAATGAATACCCACATTAATCTGAGCTATCTACACAAATGTTTCAGTAACAAATGAAAAAAGTCTATGGGGAAGATATTAAAAAATTGTGTATCTTGTTGTTTGGTGGTTATTTTGCTCTAATATTTTTCTTGTAATACATATAAAAATAAAATTATCATCTTAGCTCTTTTTAACTAAACAAGTTAGTGGCATTCAGTGTATTCAGTGTTTTACAACTATCACTACTAACCATTTTAGGATTATCAAAACAGAAACATTATAATCATTAAACAATACCCTATTCCTCCAGCCCTTGTCTCTCTAAGATTCTGCCTGTTTTATACACCTCATGTAAGTGGAATCCCACAACATCTTACTTTTGTTTTTGGCTTACATCATTTAGCATAATGTCCTCAACATTAATCCATATTGTAGCATAATATCTCTATCCATCCATGCACCCATCCATAAATCTATCAACTTACAGTGGATTCACATCCTGACAAAGCCACTTTAAGTTAAAAGTGCATTAATTCACCTACCCTACAAAACACTGCAGTTGAACTACAAAATACACTCACTGTATAACAACAATTTTTTATATTGATCTCCTGGCAGCAAACACAATGCAACATGCTGCATGGAGTCAGGCCAGGAAAACAAATGAAACTGAATTCAAAATAAAGTCTCTACTAATGCATATGGATTTTGCATGATTGTAAAAACAGAGAATTCTAAGTCAAAGATTATTTATAGATACATTTAAAAAATTCTAATCATCCTTTGGTAAACAGTTGGATTTCAAACCTTATAGCTGTTGTGAACAATGCTTTTCTGAACATTAGCATACAAAAGTCTGTTTGAGGCCCCACTTTCAATTCTGTGGATACATGTCTATGAAAGAAATTTCTGGATTATAGATTATTCTGTGCTTAACTTTTTGAAAGACCTCCAAATTGGTTTTCAGTGGCTGCATACCATCTTCAACTGAAATGCATAGTGATTTCAATTTGCCTACATCCTTACCCACACTTATTTTCCTTTAAAACAAGTAAAATAAAACAAGTCAGCCATTCTAATTTATATGCAGTAGTATCTCACTGTGCTTATAACCTGCATTTTCCTATTTCCTAATAGCATTGAGTATCTTTTCATGAGCTCACTGGCCATTTGTATATTGCCTTGGGAAGAAATATCTTCAATATCTTTGCCCATTTGTTAATCAAGATTTTTGTTTTTGATATATTAGAGAAATTCTTCACGTCATCTAGACACTAACCTCTAAACAGATACACAATTTATTTTCAATTCTAAATTGCCTATGATTTGATATCACAATTAAAAATAAACCTGTAGCTTGTAATATTTAAAAATACCAAAGGCTTAAATGCAATATTAAGAATTATAATACTCAACAAATCACATATTAAATGAGAACTAACATTTGTAACTATAGTACAATAGCTACTTTCACCGATTTAAGTTATACTGTAAAATTGATTAAATTTTTCCATAAAATAATAAACAATTTTATATAGAAACATCCAAGTAGATCATGTGTTCCTGCATTCAACCTTTGTCATCTCTAAAAGGATGCATTTTTTATTCCTGCTACCCTGCACCACCAGGACGTGCTGGTTCCAGCCCAGGTGCTGCTTAGGTGAGACCCTCTTCCACTCCCTTGGGACCCCCACCACCGGCCCACCCAGTGAGAATTTCTGCCTTGTTCTGGGGACCCCTAGATCAAGTCCTAGACCAGGCCCTGTGAGTGTGTGGGAGAGCTTCTGGTTACCCTGTGCCAGCGGGAGCTGCCGATCCAAGCCCAGGCACAGCAAGACGATGCAAAGATGAACAAGGAGAGGCTGATAGGCATCAACGAGAAAGAAGGAGTCAATACAAATGACATTAAAAAATATGGGCACAAGTAATAGCAGAAAACTTCCCAACAAATAAGAGGAAAGAATCTGCCATTCAAATAACTGGAGCATACAGAACTCCAAGTAACCTCAACCCGAATAAAACACAATGAGACATATAATAGTCAAGACCCCAGAAATTCACCAAAATAATAATATACTGCAAGTTCCTAGAAAAAGGAAGCAGATTACATTAAAAGGAAAACCCATCAGAATTATGGCCCACTTCTCTTCACAAACCATGAAGGCAAGAAGAGCATGGAGCAGAGTACTTCAAGTCCTCTATGAAAACAAATTTCAGCACAAATTGCTATTCCCTGCAAAACTCTCTTTCAAGTTTGATGGAGAAGTGAAATACTACCATAACAAATTAAAGAATTTCATGATGACAAAGCCAACCCTACACAGGCTACTGAAAGATGTTCTAGAGAGGGACCAAAATGACCAGAACTCCACCAATGAGATCAGATGGAACCAACTGAATAGGAAAAATAAATAAACACAGGAGAAAAAGGAGTAAATGACAACAGGTAAATAACATGTCAATCAAAACTCAATACATCTCAATTCTAACCATCAATATAAATACTCAATTCACCAATTAAGAGACATAGACTGGCACAGTGGATTAGGAAACAAAAACTTATAATATGCTGTATACAAGAAACACATTTAACTCATAAAGACATTCATAGACTGAAAGTCAAAGGATGGAACACAATACTACATGCCCCAGCACCTCAGAAAAAAGCAGAGGTAGCAATACTATTCTCAGACAGTCTCAACTTCAAACCAACCAACATCAAGCGAAATAAAAAAGGCCACTACATACTGGTTAGGGGAAAAATTCAAGAGGAAGAGGTAACATTCATAAATATGTATGCACCAAACACGGGAGCACCCAACTATATAAAGCAAATCATAAAGCAAATCAACATGAAAAATCTAATATCCAATACCACAATCTTAACAGGAGACCTTAACACCCCCTTATCCCCAAAAGATAGGTCAACCAGACAAAAACTTAGCAAAGAAATAACAGAACTGAACCAGAGCTTGAAACAAATAGACTTGGTGGACATATAGAGTTCCACCCAAGCACAGCTGAATACACATTTTTGTCAGCTGCACATGGGTCATTTTCTAAAATAGACCACATACTGGTAAATAGGTCATGCGTGAGTATATGCAAGAAAACAGAAATTATCCCGTGCATATTATCTGACCACAGTGCAATGAAAGTGGAAATAAATGACAAAAGAAACCAGAAAAAAACCCTAACTACACGGAAATTAAACGACACCCTACTCAGCAACCAATGGGTCACAGATAAAACTAAACAAGAAATTCTACAATTCAATGAAAATTCAAGCACAACTTATCAGAATTTATGGGATACAATGAAAGCAGTTCTCAGAGGGAAATTCATAGCTGTGAACTCACACATTAGGAATTCTTTTCTGAAAAAAAAAAAACAAAACAGAATGGAAACAAATAAACACACTAATGCTGCACCTTCAACAACCACAAAAGGAAGAGCAAAACAAACCTAGAGCCCAAAGAAGGGAAGAAATCATAAAGATTAGAGCAGAAATTAATGCAATTGAAACAAAGAAAATAGTTCAAAGAATAAACGAAACAAAAAGCTGGTTCTTTGAAAGATTAAATAAAACTGATAAGCCCCTAGCTAACCTCATCAAAAAGAGGAAAGAAAACATTCAAATACAAGCAATAGGAATGAAAAGGGGGTAATTACCACAGACCCAGTGGAAATTCAGAAGATTATCAATAGCCACTTTGAGAATCTTTACTCTCAAAGAATAGAAGACACAGAAGAAATGGACAGATGCCTGGAACAGAACACATTATCAAAGCTGAATCAACAAGATATAACCACTCTCAATAGCCAAATAACAGCCAATGAAATACGAGATGCAATTAAAAACCTACCGACACAGAAAAGTCAAAATCCGGATGAATTCACAGCTGAATTTTGCAAGAAATTTACAGAAGATGTAGTCCCTATACTCCTTAAACTTCTCAATGAAATTTAAAAGGAGCATTCATCCCAAAATCATTCCTGGATGCAAGTATTACACTGATACCAAAACCAGGGAAAGATACAACTAAGAAAGAGAACTACAGGCCAATCTCCCTCATGAACAAAGAAGCAAAAACCCTCAATAAAATCCTAGCAAATAGAATATAGCAAATCATCAAGAAGATCAGACACCATGACCAGGTAGGATTCATCCCAGGGATGCAAGGATGGTTCAATATTTGAAAATATATAAATGTAATACACTATATCTATAGAGCACAAACTAAAAATGACGTGATCATCTAGATAGATGCAGAAAATGTTTTTGACAAAGACCACACTCATTCATGTTCAAAGTCCTACAGAAAATTGGAATAGATGGCCTCTACTTCAATATGGTAAAAGCCACTTATGAAAACCCAACAGCTAACATAATCCTAACTGGGGAAAAACTGAAATCTTTTACTTTTAGATCTGGTACAAGACAAGGATATCCTCCATCACCACTCCTATTAAAAATAGTTCTGGAAACCTTAGCTACAGCCATTACGCAAGAGAAAGAAATAAAAGGAATAAGAATACTTAAAGAAGAAGTTAAATTATCATTATTTATAGATGACAAGATGCTTTACTAGGAAGACTCAAAAAAACTTTGCCAAGACACTATTAGAATTAATACAGAAAATCAGTAGCATAGCAGGATACAAAGTCAATACCCAAAAGTCAATAACATTTCTCTACACAGATAACAAACACACTGAGAGGGAAATTATAGAAAAATACCTTTTACAATGGCACCAAGGAAAATGAAATACTTTGGAAATAATCTAACTAAAGAAGTCAAAGATCTTTTCAAGGAAAATTACAGTACTCTTTTTTATTTATTTATTTTTTTTTGTGGAACCAGGGATTGAACTCAGGCCCTTGAACTTGCCAGGTAAACGCTTATTCTACTGAGCTATCTCCCAGGCCCCTTATAG